TCTTATAAGACAAACAGACTTAACAAAAACAATCATATAACATTAAAAACATCAATATTTGTCGCTCTTTTAAGAAATTAAAAATCTTGATCCATTTTTTATCAATTTCGCATTCAGTCCATTCATTGTCTTTTATTATAGTGTTAATTCGTCGTAGTTTGTCTAATAATAAATTGTCAGTTATTGTGATGCTAAATTTTTCTTTAATGAATAAAACTGTTTCAAGGATTTTATTCCATTGAATTTCTTCATTCAGCAGAATCGAATCAAACATGTACACTGGTTCGTCATGCTTAGTCCAATTTTCTAGATATGCAAGAGCATTTTTATAAAAGCTCATTGCCTCCCTCATAAATTCTGTCTTCATTCCTGGATTGCTCTCTTGTAATTTGTTTAAATTAGTAATTACAAGGAATGGAAGGAACTTGGACTCAAGCCGTGATTGCAGTTGCACCTTTAATTGTTTAATATGCAATCCCACTTCTGTAGAAGTTATATGCTCTTTTTCAATGGTTTTTATAACTGACTGGAACAAAGTCCTTGATTGTGAACAAAATACAGAGTTACTTCAGAAGATTCATTCTTAAAAAAGTTTTTCAAGATCAGTGGACATTTTTCCAAACTTAGAAAATATTATTTTAAAGGCTCGAACAATTGCAGCCCTTTTTCAATGGCTGGCATTAAAGCTAACCATGTTGTTTTCGAATATCCCAACAGTTTTTTATATTCAACTGAGGCTTCTTCACAAAAAGTCTTTAATGATGTAACTCTTACAGTGAAATCGTTCAAAATGTAAATAAATTTGAGGTATCACAACTTCAGCATCGGTGGACATTAAGCTTGATGCTGTATTGATGGCATTAGATACAATATGGGCATTGCAACCGATTCCAATAATCGTTTTCCCAATTAAATGCATCATTTTCTTATGAACATTTTTATTGCCTTTATGATTTACACTGCCAAAATTAATATTTGCGTTACTGGCACACATCACAATAACTTTATCATTCAAATGATGATTATCCACTAATTTTTTGGTATGATTGTATATTATTTCAGATGTCTCACCATCAATTGCTTTCAAATTCAAAACTTTGATTTGAGTACCATTTTCAAAACTGTAGTAACGAACTGAACTGAAGGCAGGGGACTGGACTCGATGACCTTTCAAGGTCCCTTCCAGTTCTAGGACATAGGCAATCTCCATTCATTTAAAAAAAAATTTAATTTTTTTTTAAACTAACACCAAATACAACTTTGTATCTGTGTGCTTTGAAGCATCCGAAAGAAGTGTAACAAATTTAGCTTTATGTAAATCTTTCTTCAAATTCTTTTGTGCGTAAGTTTGAAAAACGTCGCGAATAATAGCCTCTCCTTTAGTTCTGGCACAATGGAATTTTTTATTATAAAGTACTCTATTCAGTTTTGACGTACAATCCATGCTCCGAAAACTTTGATTGTACATCACAGTGTGGTACGCAGTCAGACCTTCAGCAGCTGCTAAATTCTTTTCATCTTCTCCAAATGATGTACTTCCTAAGAAGTCTGTAACTTTCTGGGACATTGAGGCCGATGTTAAAGAATTTTGATGTTTGTTTGTTTGTTTGTTTGTTTGTTTGTTTGTTTGTTTGTTTGTTTGTTTGTTTGTTTGTTTGTTTGTTTGTTTGTTTGTTTGTTTGTTTGTTTGTTTGTTTGTTTGTTTGTTTGTTTGTTTGTTTGTTTGTTTGTTTGTTTGTTTGTTTGTTTGTTTGTTTGTTTGTTTGTTTGTTTGTTTGTTTGAAACATGCTTCGTTATGCTGGATCAGCCACCTACTGCCACACTGAATTCCACTGAACAGACAGGACACTTCACTAATGAATCATCTCTTGTTTCATCTACAATTCTGATGAAAGGAAATTCCTTTTTTAAATTCTCGTTGAAATGGCATTTTCTTTTCTTCGACATTTTTAGGGTTAATTGTGTCAACTAAAAAATCACATTGACATTAAACAATAACATTTCATAAATACCCTCTAAGTGTACTTTTACTGTATATTAAGCCTTTTAACAGGGGTTCAATTGGTTTTGTAACTTACCGGCTTTTCTGACAAGTGACAAGTGCGCACGTCCAGCACTTCGATAGATGCACGGATTGGCCAACTTTGAAGCGATGCTACTAGAGTGCAGTATAATGATACTTTAAAAAACAGTGGGATATATTTTTTTGGCAAAGTAGGACAAAAAGGACAGTCTTTTTCAAAGGAGGACAAAAGGAGGACATAATTATTGGGGAGGACAAGCCCCTCAAAAGGAGGACTGTCCTCCTCAAAGGAGGACATCTGGTCACCTTAGGGAAAAGACCAAAAAGACAAAATTGAACCCTGTTAAAGTCCTGATTTTCACCATGCTCTAGTAAGGAGTTCCACAGGTTGACTGTGGGCTATGTGAAGAAAAACTTCCTTTGTTTTGTTTTAAACCTGCTATCTATTAATGTCATCTGGTGGGCCCCTAGCTCTTATGTTACGAGAAAAAGTAAATCATTATTTCTTACTCACTTTTTCCACATCAATCATAATCTTATAGTCCTCTTTCATATCCCCTCTTAGTCTCCTCTTTTCTAAGCTGAAAAGTCTAAGACTTTTTAATCTCTCCTCATATGAGACCCATTCCAAACCTCTAATCATTTTTGTTCCCCCAGCCACGAATCACCAAAAGTCCAACATCCCAAGGCTATGTCTACACTTGCGGCTTGCGCAAGAAAATGTCCACCCTGCCATGTGCGAGCTGTGCTTTTGCGCAAGAGCGCCCATAGCAGTGTGGACGCTTTCTTGCTCAAGAAAGCTCTGACGGCCATTTTAGCCATAGGGCTTTCTTGCGCAAGAAATCCCTGCTGAGCATCCACACTGCACTCTTGCGCAAGAGCTCCTGCGCAAGAGGACTTACACCTGTCAAAAAAGAGCATAGCTCTTGCGCAAGGAGCCCCCTCTTACCACGTCGTACTGTAAATTTATTTGCGCAAGAGCAGGCGGGCAGTGTGGACGCTCTGCAGATTCTTGCGCAAGAATGGCCGTCCTTGCGCAAGAAGCCGCAA